CTTCTTGCCATTGCTCTAGTAGTTGGGCCCTTAGCCCATGGGCCTCCTCCATCAAGAATTTTTGTTTTTGTGGTTTCGGGGAAAAATGGTGAAATTTGGGGATTTTCATGTATTTTTGATTGTATGTTGAAAATGAGTTGGTTTTCTTGTTGTTTTTTGAAAATGTGGAGTTTTGGGCGGATTGCATGTGCTTGGATTGCTTGTTTTTGTAGGTTTTGGTGAAAATTTTTGAAGTTTGGGGGCTGCTGAATGATAGGGTGCCGGGCGCATTACCATCAGAGGGCTCTGTTGGGAAAGCCTGTCGGGCGCAAGGTTGTGTGCGTCGGGCGAGCTTGAGAATGGAAGCCCCTAGATGGCTCATGCCGGGCGTGGTTGGACTGCGCTGGACGCAATATCAGTCAGTGACTTAGCATTTTGGGGTTCTGGTGTGGTGCTGGGCGTGACTTTGTCTCGTCAGGCGTGGAGACTCCTTGGGAGTCTCTGTCAAGGGTGGCGCCGGGCGTAACTGGTATTGTGTCGGGCGTGAGACCTTGGTGAGGTCTTTGCCTTCCCTACGCCGAGCGCGGGTTTGGCACGCCGGGCGCGTGAGACTCCTTAGAGTCTCTGCCTTCGATTGCGCTATGCGTAATTGGTATTGCCCAGGAGCGTTTAAGCCTTGGAGCTCTCTGGTTGGGCCACACCGGGCACAACCATGAGTGCTTCGGGCGCAGATGTAATCTTTCTTTATATGCTGGTATATGCTGATTTAAGCTGTTAGTGAAGATTGTGTTGTGCTGTGAGATGTTTAAGTTGTATTGTTGCAAATGTTGAGTTGTGCCGTATGCTGTATGTTGTTATTGCTGCTATGCTGTGCTGTGTTGAATGCTTATATGAGCTGTTGTAGGCCGTAAGGCTGAGCTGTTGTAGGCCGTAAGGCTGAGCTGTTGTAGGAGATCTCTGAGCTGATATGTGATGTGTTGAATGATGATCTTGCTAAACTAGAATATGATGTGCTGATAAGTTGTAGTTGTTTATATTTTATGTATTTATATATACATATGCTGATTCCTTTCATTAGTTTACCCTTGTTGTTTCCATGTAGTTTGGACTGCAATGATCATACTATGTATGATAGCAGAGTAGGGATAGGTTGGTGTGTTGAGGCAAGTCTACAGCTGGCAGATGAAGTGGATAATTTTGATATTTTGTTGTTTTAAGCTACTTAGTGTAGCAATTTGGCTGTATTTTATACTTTGATTTTAGTTCCCAGGCTAGACATATGTATATATATATATATATATTCTATTTTGTATATGCATGCTCTATTCCGCGTAGTGTTGTTTGCTGTGTGACGGCAAGGCAGGTCGTTACAACTGATCCCCCTCCCCGCTTTTTACAATTTTTTACATCTAGTATATTTATATTAAGTAATTATTTATAATTTACTATTAAATAATTAATGGTAAGTGCCATTTTCCTTTATTTTATTTTATTTTATGATTGTATTATTCTCTTTATATATTTTTAATTCTTAAATATAGAGAAAAACTATTTAATAATATAATAAAATAATTTTACAATGTTATTCAATTACAAGTTATCATATATTAGTAAATTTATTAACTTTTATAAAATTATCTTAATTATCATACTGATGATAGCTTTTTATTACTTGATAGTATATTATTTTTTACATGCATGATCATTAAATCTTATAATATATTTTTTTAATAGGTTGATCATTATGCTATAATGAATAACATAGATTATTCTAATTTAATAGATTTTTTAATAAATAATTAATAGAACATTTTCTTTAAAAAATTATGATTAACACACAAATACTCATTATTATAATAAATTAATGGAAAAAATGATGATCGATATTTGTAATATGAAGTCTTCACGAAAAAAAATATTTTGTTTGTCTTTTATATATATATATATATATATTATTGTAAATAATAATTTTAATATTACATACAAAATTTGATGCATATATATTTGTTGAATAACACTTAATGCTAACTCTGTCCAAAATGATCGGGTAATTCGAGTTCCTCTTACATATGTATTGGGAAAAATATATAATATATAATTATATTATTAATAAGAGTATAAATAGACAAACAAAAATGTTAAACTCATTAATTAATATGTTCATCTAAAATTTTATAACTAAATTAGTAATTACCAATCGAGGACAACAGCAATATTATAATTAGAATGTAACAAAAAAAAATTATAGTATTTTCAAAGTTTATTTAGTCATTATTATTTGGAATATTACCTCGTGCCAATTTGAACACATAATAATAAGAATTAAATTATGTAACCCTAATGACCGAGAATCGCGGTTTATATATCAGTTCACCTAAAATTCCTGATGAAGCTTATCGTTTTCCATGCATATCTTATCTAGGAAGATTCATGATTTGCTTCGTAGCTGGCTAAAGATAGAAAAACACAGTTGTTGGTATCATAATAAACAAACACTACTACAATTTTTTTTTTATTACATGAAATTTTTCTTGCAAATTTTTCATAAAATTTTGTAAGAAATGTTATTTTTGCAAATTTTTTTATAAAATTTTATCTGTAAATAATACTTTCGTGGATAATATATTTTTATAAATTTTAAAATTTATAAAAAAAAATTTATAAATAATTTTTTATAAAAAAATGACATTTTTTAATAGTGAAATGAAGAGAAAGATAAAGAGAATAATAAGAGTAGAAATTAATGAAAGAATATTAGTAATAAATAAAAAGCAAGAAATTTCAACAGGGTGATGAGGTATTGAGGTTTCTCCAACTGACCCAAAATGTCATAAACCATGTGCCACTGGTTGCATTAATTTCTCTGTTCTGTACTTTACTTTGGTATAAGAGTCGTCAACAGTAACAAGACATGTTCATATTCATAGCCATGCTAGCTAGGGCCTAAGGGCTATCATATTTATTGTGTATGGTTAAAATTAGCTTATAGTAGTACAGTATAATAGCCATCAAATTTTAAGTTCCAATATTATTCGTGTTGTTTTTATCTTTTATAGTAGGAATAATAACTACTAGTACCAAATCAGATGTTTTATTTGATTATTTTATAATACTTTATTTTTAATATTTTATTCATTATTTTTATAATTTTTTATTCATGAGTCTTTTTTAATAAATATTATTAATGTTTTTAGATTTTTTGAGAGAACTTTATTTGATATGAACACTTTAGAAATCTTATTTTGCCTCTTCATATGCATGATCTAAAGTAAAATTTAAAGTAATAAAAATATTAATGAAGAGAAAAATTAAAACTAACAAAAATTAAATTAAGATCTCATGGTTAAATCTATTAAACCTTCATTCAATAATAGAAACATATTATTAATACTTGTTTTTTTTTTTACTTATGAAGATTGCATCAAGTCAAAATGTCACTGAACAAAATCTATTCATTTAACTAATCAATGAATATCAAAAGTGAGAAAATTTTACTAAAGAATTACATGAAAAATAATGGAAGGTTTGCATTTTTCCAAAAAGTACTTTTTAAAATAAAACATGTCTCAATAATATTAAAAATAATTTTAGAAAAACATATAAATGAAAAGAAATTGGCATTGGCTCAGGAAAAATAATTGTTGCATTAAATTGACCAAACCTCAGAGTTCTGACCAAACACTTGCCATCTGAATTGTGCTTCTGTACGTGTCTGTTCTTAAAAGCTAGAGAGAGAAAATCAGAGACGAAGTGAATAGTGAAGGAGATTTTTTTTTTTATTAGAAATGAAAAGCACCAAGAATGATAATTTTGTAAAAGGTAAAGAAACTAACTTACTCTCTCTCTCTCTCTCAAATCTCAATTTAAAATACTATTATTCCAAAGTTTTGTATAAAATTAAAGATTCATTCAATATTCTAATATATAAAACACAAACTTATCTCACTTAGACTCTGTAATTAGGTTAGTTGATGTGAGTTATCCCCCGAACCGACACTTGTCAATGTTTTGAACTGTTTTTTTAATTAGTATTTTAAAATAAATTTAAATATATTTTTAATCTCTTAAATTTAAGAAAAATTTATTTTTGGTCTCTCAAATTAAAGTTATTATTTTTAGTTCTTGTAATTTTCAAAAGTCTTTTTTTAGTCCCTTAAATTACTAATAATATATTTAAAAGTGATTAATTAAGACAGTTATGCAATATCAACCGGATTTAATTGGTATTTTCACTAATAGAGATATCAATAATTAGATTTTATGTAATAATATTTGATAAATTTCTTAACAAAATTTAAATATAGAACTAAAATAATTTTTTTTTGAAATTATAAGGACTAAAAATAACAATTTTAAATTTAAGAGATCAAAAATAAAATTACCATAAATTTAAGAGACTACAAATATATTTAAGTCTTTAAAATAAGTAAAGAAACTCGGTTGAATTGTTTGACTAAAACATTTCTCTTTGAATTCATTTGATATTATATTCGATTTTTATCGATAATAAAAAAAAAAATTACTTACGTATAAACTAAACTATCAAACACATAAAATTGAATTATCTTCTTTATCACGTCACACAAAAATATTAATGATAAAAATTAAAATAATTAAAAATTTAAAGTATAAACTAAAATGTGAGGTACGTGAGGAAGTGTTTTTAATCTATTATTTTTATTTATTGCATTACTATTAGCATTGCATTATTTCATTTGAAGGAACCATCATTTTTTACCATTTTGAAAGTAAAGCATTGAGAAGTGAGGTGTGAAAAGGAGAAGGGTATTTGTGGCAAATGGTTGTTGATGCATGTGACCGTGGAAGCTCGTTAACCATCAGAGCCAAAACCGCTGTGCCCCACATGGATTTTGGGGATTTTCCTCCCAACCAACATCAAAGGTGGGCCTCATGGCAAGTAGCACTGTTTTTAACTCATTTATTGCAAAAACCACTTATACCCTCAGCGGTTTTTTTGGTCCAAACAATTCAAAACAGTTAGTTGAGCTTGTGACTATTTTCCCCAACCCCTCAGTGTCTATAAATTAAGTGTCACTCCCTCCCATTCGCTTCACACACCACCTGCTCCTCCTTCCTTTGACTCTCCTCAATATCAGAGTAATTTCCCTTTTCAATAAGCTTGTTCCATCACTTCAAGGATGAAGAAAAACTCTTCTTCACCTTGACTAATGTTGTTAACAAAATGTATGTGTGCTAGAAGGAAATGTCTTATGATTTTTGTATTGTTTTGTGTGTGCAGGAAAATGGCTTTCATTGGGTTGCTCTTGATGGGTTTTCTCTCAATGTTCTCCTCTGCTCATGCATATGGTGGAGGGTGGACTAATGCTCATGCCACTTTCTATGGGGGGAGTGATGCATCAGGGACAATGGGTATGTGTGATCTATATTTATTTTCGTTAAAGGTTCAATTTTTATCTACAAGATGCTATTTTGAAGCATTTTGGAGCAACCCATTGGACTAATGTGTGGGTCTGTGCAGGTGGGGCATGTGGGTATGGGAACCTCTACAGCCAAGGGTATGGAACAAACACTGCTGCTCTGAGTACAGCACTTTTCAACAATGGCTTGAGCTGTGGCTCTTGCTTTGAGATTAGGTGTGCCAATGACCACAAGTGGTGCCTCCCAGGCTCCATTTTGGTCACTGCCACCAATTTTTGTCCACCAAACAATGCCTTACCAAACAATGCTGGTGGCTGGTGCAACCCTCCTCTTCAACACTTTGATCTCGCTCAGCCTGTCTTCCTACGCATTGCTCAATACAGAGCTGGAATTGTCCCTGTGTCCTACAGGAGGTAGGTTACTTGCTTTTGCTCAAAAGTATCTTGAAATTTGGTTTTGAATCTTTGATATTGTTCACATTTTATATCATACTCTTTCTTATAAAGGACCAAAATTTAACAACTTTGATTACTCGTTAGATTTAAAAATATTTTGTGTACCCTATTACTTTTCCTACTAATTAATGCATGGTATTTGTGGCTCATGGTGTTTTTTTTTGTTGGTGGGTTTGTGTAGGGTGCCCTGCAGGAGAAGGGGAGGGATCAGGTTCACCGTCAATGGACATTCCTACTTCAACCTTGTTCTCATAACAAACGTTGGTGGTGCTGGTGATGTTCATTCTGTGGCAATCAAAGGGTCCAGAACTGGTTGGACCCCAATGTCAAGGAATTGGGGTCAAAACTGGCAGAACAACAACTATCTGAATGGTCAAAGCCTGTCCTTTAAGGTTACCACAAGTGATGGCCGAACTGTGGTGTCCAACAATGTTGCCCCAGCTGGTTGGTCCTTTGGCCAAACCTACACTGGTGCTCAATTTCACTAGATCTTGTCCAAGTTCATGTCACACCCATACAAATTCTATATAGTATAAATATTAGTATGTTATGAGGCTTCAATTCAAGTACGACTCGTTAGTATACTAGGGTATTAGATAGTATGCTACTAGGTAAGGGGTCAGTTTTTGGAATTTTAGAGGTCAGGGAAGAAGGGCATGTTTTAAATTGCACCTTCATTTTGTTGTGTCAACAGGTGGGGACCAAGTGTTAGGCCCCTCTTGATTAATTAATGGGGTTTTCTTTTTTTCACTTTTTTCTGAAGTTTTTTGAACTTTCTGCATCTAAATTAATGGAAGATGTAGAAGGTGGATTTTTCATATTTTTATGGGTGAATTACTAGATTGGAAGTGGTGGACTTTGTGACCACCCGCCAATTAGTATTGGGATGGTGTCTGTTTTTTCTTTGTTTGTTGGGAGTTTTATGTGTGTTGTTTGCTACTGATCCTTTGTAATCAGCCTTGGCTGTGTATGTCTTAGGTTGTGTTGGAGAAGGAAAATGTAAATTTTCCCAATGGAATCTTTCAGTAATTGATAGTAGTACCTCAGCTTATTTTCATTTCTTGTTGCTACAATTTACAGTTTTATCACTCCATTTTCTTGTTTGGGAAAATATGAAAATAAAATTAATTATTTGGCTGAAAAGAGAAGTAGAAGCTTGGCAAGATTGGGTAAACAACAAGAAAATATAAAATCTTTTAGGCTTAACTGAGGCCACGGATGAAATTAAAAAGTAATTTTGGGCTCACATTTTGGGTCTTTCCAATGGACAAACCTAATGCATAATGTGACAGCATCTCAGAATTGACACATTAGAAGCAACAGTGGACATTCAACACATCTCTGGCCCAAAGCATTTTTTATTTAAGAATTTCAGTTCTCAAAGCTTTGACTGTCATCCTTCGCTTTCTACCCCTAAATCAATTTTTTTTAGCATTATTCTATTTCACAGGACCAGTGTAATTTATTTTCATTTGGAGTCGGAATCTGCAAATCATCAAGAGTTTTATAGAAAACCAAGTTGAATCGATTTAGAATTGTCAATTGTGTTAAAAGTCTAAATTAATCTTAAGTCAAATACTTCTATCGAAGCCGACGAAACGCATATGGAAAATTCTGAAAATTGATTTTGAAATTGAGATTATTAATTTTTAACTTTAATACAAATAACTAATACTCTGATAAAAAAGGAAAGGTGAAAAGTGGGTATGCTAGTTATCACTTCTCAGTTATTGGTAACAATAGGTTAGGGATGGGAAAGTTTCTCACACATCTCAACTCAATTTTTATGTGAGTTGGCCTTATTTGACTCATAATTTTAATTTTCAAAATTAATTTTTTTTTTGTTATTGTAGTAATTGTTTTTTAATATTAAACTTCATTGAAAATTTAAGTAAATAATTCCATAATAATTTTATATTGTTTAATATCAATTTTATCTTTTTCTAAAAGAAATGGCACTTTATTAAAATAATACGTATAAAAGTAAATTGATAAGTATGTCATTGATAGGTTGAGTTGATAATAAATATTAAGTGGATTAGCTGGATAATTCCACCTAATGTAAATTCAGTCTAAATTAGTCGGATCAAAAGTAACGTGAAATTTTAGATCAATTATTTTTTTTAAAATATTTTTTTTACTTGTTTTTAAGGTGGGCCAAATTGATCTTAAGGAGTGAAAGCCACTTTCACAGCTCCACAGTGCGTGTTCACCGAAACTACTAATTGAATTGCCTATAAACAAATAGCAAGAAGGCTTTAACTTTTAAGTATCAATTTTTATAGGGCTGGTGGGCTGAGGTGTCGTTGGTCTCAACCAAGCTAGACAAGCCCAAATAAATTTGAATGAAGCAAATTATAAAATTTTGCTGTGCAAGGTTCAAGCTGCGTACCTGATTAGGGGAACAAAACACAACTTCAATGAAGAATTTTCAACGCAGATCTAGCACTAAAAGAGTTTTTTAATTAATTAATTAAATTATTTATAATATTTTTATTAAAAGTGTTTTGGTTACAAAGATGATCTTATCCTTGAACACTCATTAGTTCTCTTCTCTCTATCTTTCTAGTGTGTTTTTTTTCCTTCAATGAATGTCATCCTTCTTGGAAAGCGTCTTATTCTTTTTATCCTAACAATTAGGTCTCATGACCCTGATTTAAGGATACTTTGGTGATTATTGGATTTCATATATATCAAACATACTTATTAAGTAGTGATTTATATTTTTTATCTGATTTTTTTAGTCAAATAATTGTAATTCACGAGATAGATTAGACGGCTATTATACTATGGCAAGCTTAATTGAGTATAGGATAACTTATTAAGATCGATTGATCCTAGATCTATAAGAATGTGGTAGGTCGACCCTCAATCTGTGAGAGTATATAACCCTATAGTTTTAAGTCTAAAAAGAACAGACTAATTGATTAGTGAATTAGGTCTGACTGACAAGATCATGTCATTATTTGTTACATTCTTAATGGGTAGTCTTACTGTGTATAGGTCAGTTTGTCTAGTTGATGAAAAATGATAGATCAGTCTATCACTAGTAAGGATTAAAAAAGTAATTTTACTTTAATAACTTACATTGAAATATAATGTCAACGTTGTTAAAAATACTTGTCCTGATTGTATTAGTATACTACAATGCATGGACTATTTTCACTTCAACCAAAAAACCAAAAATATACTTAAAGATTTAGCTTTGAAATGGATCCATGTGTGAAGACAAACATTGTACATTTATTGAGTTCAGATCAATAGTTTAGTAGTTCTCTTCTGATTTAATCCAAAAATTTTGTGGAAGGCTGGAAGAGAAATGTAAAATCTGTTATACTAGATCACTGACCATGTGCAATAAGTTTTAGAGTATGCTAATGCCTATAGGGAAGTTGGGTTTTATAAAAATGCAGTTGTGAAACCAAAGCCCACCCAATAAACCTTGTATTCAATTTCAAACTCTTTCCACCTGAGCAATTTGATTTCTCAAAAGTGTGACAAACGACAATCACAATAAAATTATATTTTATGCTTTGTAGAAAATTTAGCCAGGTCCATTGCCACTGACATTATAGGTAATTAAACAAACTGAAGACTTATTTACAAGCAGATACAGAATAGAGTTTTCGGACAAGAAAGCAATCCTTGTGATGTGACTCTCAAATACTATTTTTCTGTATGTTATCATATATACAAATATTACCCACGTAAGAAAAAGAAATGTTGCATGCTTTCGTTGCATTAGCAACAACCTTCACACCTGTGACAAGGTGGAAGCAAAAACAACCAAACATAACCTATTATTGGTAATTATTAAGATCTAATATAGCATTCCTCTGCCTTGTCCTTAATTCATCTCAATCACTGAATGAATGGCATCAAGGTAGGCTTAGCTGCTCAATGAGGCCATATAAAAAATTGGCTGGTTACTTCCTATATTTGCATAAAACTCATCCGTTGAGGTAAATTTCTCCGAGGATGTCAAGTTTCTCACGTGTGACTCAAGTTCTCTAGCAACCTCAATAATAGATGGATGGCCAAAACTTTTGTGAATCAATTTTGCTGCTGCACTCAGAAAACACAAGCTTATAAGTGAAGCTCTTCAAATAAAAGTTTTTCATAATGGCTAAGGATTAGTACATAAATTATTTGCACATGCAGAATATGCACTTGTATTTCAAAACATTAAGTTTTCAAGGTAAATGACTGATTCTCCATACGTTATAGTCCAATGAGTTTTTTTGCAAAACTTTTTATTTTTAAATCTAAAAGGGTCATTCTAGTAGTGATATTTAAGTTCAAAACATATTTATCAAATGGGATAAATTAGTTGCACCATGTTTCAGCATAAATAATAGTTCAGGAAGAACGTAGTAGTATTAAAAACCACAAGAGATGCGATGAGATATGAACCTCAAAAACCATTATATGAAAAATAAGGGGGAGGAACCATTGGTAAAAGACCTATTCAAAAACTTGAAGGTCTAGTAGAAATCCATTGTCCATTGATTGCAAATATTCTACCAAAAAAATGCTTATTAATTTCATATGCAATTTGAATATTATCTTAACTAAAACTCTTCAAATTCATGAAATGAGAACATGTTTTTCAGACTTGATTTAACTCTTAGTCTCTTATACAAATGTTCTTTAAGGATGTAATACTCAACCTTGTTTATTAGAAAGAAAGAGACAAGGAAAAAAAATATTGTCATAAATACAGTAGAGATGTGTTTTTAATAACATCTATGAATTTTTATTCTACTTATTTGTTGATTTAAATGAGCTAAAATGGCTATTGTTGTATTTTTCAAGACTAACTAAAAGCCACAAGGAAGAGGTAAACACACATATACATATAAAATATTACATCGCTTCAATAATTGAATGTAAAATTTACCAGCTTTGACTAGTTAGTCAAGCTGAATTTGATGCGTCAGACTAGGCAGAAGATATGAGCAAACTACAGCTAGATTCTATGTTAAGAAATTCTTTGGAGCTTGGATAAAACAACATAAAGTTTAAATATTATTCAATCTAGGACAAACAAAAAGAATAGATGTCAGGTTGCATCACTAGTGAAGAAGTCTAAGAATAACTCTTGATAATGGCCTAACTTTGGTCATCTCATATTCAAAATTTTGTGGTGACTCCGATACACACAACATATGGAAGCTTGTAGGCTAAAATATATAAAAGCAGAAAGCCTGAGCATTACACTTTTCTCTCTTGTAAGTTGCTAATGTTTCTAGTTAGCTAAAAAAGATGCAATCATCACAAGGAATTCATGCAACAAGAATGCCATAAAAATAACTAAATAAAAAAAGATACTGCTATGTGAAGCCAAAATTCACTTTAGTGGGGCTTGCCTGGGCATATAACTGCTCGTCAAACATAGTAACAGCACAAGGCCCTGATGAGGAAGCCCAACCATGGTGATTAGAGTCATAACCAGATCGAGGTGCATCAAAGCTTCCATTCACATGATAATCTACAGGATTTTCATGTGGGTTGATCTCTGCAGTTGGTTGAAACTTCAAATTGTTCAGTAAATTAAAATTGTATGGAAGGTATGGAAATTGGCCATTCAATTGTAGTCTCATAGGGGCAGTACTGCTCAAGTCACTGAGGACCCCATTTTCTTGTGCCGAGTTAGACATCTCAGTTTTGATACTTGAGCCAAGATAACTAGCATAACTCCCAAAAGATGAACTTGCAGATCCCTCTACATCTCTGCTGATTAGGAAAATAAGTGGTGTTACAAATATTAACCCAAAAGATCAATTAAATAGCTATAAAACTTCATCATCACCTGTTGTGTGTCGTTTGTGCAAATTCATTTTCAGAAGAGTACATATTGATCATTTCATTTAAAACACTATTCTAGTTAAATAATTGAGTTTGATACCATAAATTAATCACTTTACATCCTCGTAATAAAATATTCATCAATGATGGTTGATGACTAATGACTACATAAATAGGTTAAGAAAACTATGAAAGAAGTTCAAGAACAAGTATTGAAACATTGAATATATTTGTACTTTAGAAAAAATAACTTACTTGTGGAGAAACATGTTTGAGTCCTCGGGTAAAACTATATTTTGGCTGTCACCATTGGCAATCCACGACAGAGGTTGGAGATGCTGCTCTGAACTCATTCTAAAGGGTATATTCATGTCATTGAACTGGAAGAAAAAAAAATGCTTTAGTCATATCTCCTTTGTCTACAATGTTGAAACCAATTTTGGTTCCACCTAAACAATTCTTTACCTGGTTATTGCATTGCATTGACACAAGTTGCTGCTTTTTAATATTTTCCTGCCACATCAGGCTGAGAATTTAGACATGAAATAACATCAATGGATTAAATTATGCAAAGTTGAGGATAAATATCTTTCTACAATGCTTTAGTCTAGTAAATAACGTGTTATTAGGTTCTATAAACTTTGGAGGGTTGTGAATTGAAAAGCATTTATGCCACTGCTTTTTCTACTCTTTTATTTGGCTTGCCATTTTTTCTTGGTTTAATAAAACTGCTATGGATGTTTCATTGACAACTATAAGGGTTTGCATTGTATGTTTTTCTTGATTCCCTGATCCTTTCAGCCAATTTATCCACTTTAACAAGATAACAATCAAATATAACAAGTAAATTTCTTCGTATTCATCAAATATAGATCATAAGGAAAATTATCGATTACCATAGAACTATGATGATAAAGTTAACTCATAAAACTATCCTTTGTAAAGAAGCACAAGTATAGGATAATACAATGCATACCTTGCGGGTTCGAATTTGATTAAGTGACTCCCTGAGTGAATTTTCCATCTGTCCTAGTTGTTCCACACTGCTTATTTTATCAAACTCATTCCAATGACTGCATAATCCAACAATAAATAGAACTTGTAAGAATAACTTGCAGCCACATGACTGTCAAAAGTTTATGAAAATCTAGCTAAAGAATAAAATATCCACCTTAATCTCTTGTGAGTTTCAGAAATTTGAGTTTGTAATAGCCTGGCTTGATTACTCAAATCCTGCACAAAGTCAGTTAGTGATTTAAAACATTGATCCTACAAATTAACAAAGTAACAAATGATTGAATTGGGTGCATACCTCAATAGTTTGACTACTGTAACAAAAGAAAAAACAAGAAAAAGAAAAAAGAATGTCAGTGTCTCAACTTATATAAATGATTAAATCTTTTAGAACAATCACTAAATTAGTGTCAATATGGCATACCTGGTGCCCAGAAATTCTTGTATATTTACATCATGATCTAACTTCTTGAAGGTCTTCTTCAATGCCTAAATTCTCAAATGGAAGCAACTCATTAATAAGAATCATGGTAAAGAACAATGTATATATGGATTATGGACACTAGTTGTAAGATAAGACTTACTTCAAGAGTTTCCAACTTCCTGTTGCAATTCAAAGGAAAACACTTAGTTAAATTATTGTATTACTAGAAAGAAGTAAATTATATATATGTGTGAAAGGATTTCAACTGCACCTTTTTGCCCTTTCCTGAGGAGTTAGTTGAGCAAACTTCGCAATAACCTCATCTAAGTTACTAAATCCACCATAGTAGGGGAGTGAATAAACAGAAGGATGGTAAGGTTACAAAATAACATAATTTTTCCAATAATAGCTCAACAAATGAGGACAGCAGAAAAGCAAAAGTTTACTCAAACAAGTAGAGTTTAATTTATACACTATCAATATAATTTATTTTTTATATTGTCAACCTATTGGAAATCATCTTAGATATGTTTTTTTAAAAGTAATAACTATAAAGGTCAACAATCATAATATACATGATGAATAACATGTCATTCCATTCTAATTAAAATTCAGGTAACATTTTTATACTCTCAACCAAAAAATTATCCTTGCTATTGACTTCCAAAAAGTTATTATAAAAGTAAAATTATATGTGACCGTGTAAAAACCTTTGTATTCTGACTGCATTTAAATTAAATTCATTCATACAGTATATGATATTTCTAGGAGGCAGATAATTATGATATACACGTTTATACTTAATATATACAGTTATTGGTTTAAAGCAGGATATAACTTTTGCTTGTCTGAGTTAAGAAACAATTGAAGGCTAAAGCCAGAGTCCAAAAGTAATTAAATTTTGGGTCAATTTGTATAAACTTCTCCACAAGTACTTATAAGAGAGAAAAATAGGAAGAAAAAATGAAATAAATTTTATATAAACTGAAATTAACTTGTGTACAAGTTAATTTGTAAAAGTTCTCTCATATTATCTTTTTTGTAATTTATATATGTTATTTTTTAATTTAAAGAAAAACTTGTATTAATTTTCTTTCCTATTTTTATCTCTTAGAAATGCTTATATAGAAACTTACTAAACAAACTCTTAAAAGTATTCTAAACGTTTCGGTCCGGGCCATTGGATCTCAGATTTCCATGAAGCCAATCCCCAATTTTTGGTTTCTATCCTAGGATTCCAAGCCTAGAATTCCGAATCCAATATTGTTAGGGAAGAATTGAATGAACTAATGGAAATAATGTTGAACAGAATTGAACATGCCATATCAGATCAAATAATTCGTATACAACATAAAACAACTCTTATATATTGATCAATTATAAGTCTTCTGAAAAGTCCTCCTAATTTTACTAAATAAAGTAGCAAAAGGATTAATAAAACCTTTCCTAAATGTCAACACAAGAAGGCCATTATTGCTACATTCTTATGCCCAAATTTCCAGCCACACGGTTTAACAGTGCCAAAAAGTAGAAACGGTCGTAACTTATAAATGATCTCCATTACTAGGCATGGGTTTTAGATGTAAAGATTTCATTTATTCAGTCAAACTAACATCATTCATAATCATATCCTTGGTTTCTCTAACTGCTAGGTCGGCCAAGTAGCACAAAGTTAAAGTAGAATTTAGAATCTTAGTTTTGAACTTCGAACTCTGATACCATCATTGTAATTCCAATGAATAAAAAAAATATGATTGGCTGCTCTAGAATTACCTATGAATATAATTATTATTACAAAACATAAATGCTAGGCTACAAAAAAAAAAATGCCTTACCTGCGTCTCCCCCTGCATAATGAAGGCTTTCCATTTGGTGCAAACATAAGAAGTATAATATCTATATCACACAATATAGATAATTCAGCAGCTTTTTTCATAATTCCATTTTTCCGTTTAGCATATGTTGCTTGGCGACCATTGGTGTTCTCCAACCGTTTTATCTTTAACTTTACCCTGCCCATCCTGCACACATCATGTATACCAACATAGTTAATTAACAACCACAACAACCTTAATTAACAAAAAAGGATTCCAAACATAGATCCTCCCAAAAGCAATTTGGTTACACCCCATGTTGCAAAATTACATTCATACAGACATGCACTCGCATTGAAATGGATTTGGATCCTCTCACGGAGAACTGAAATGATCAGAATAATAATAATGAAGAAAAAGAAAAGAATAAGAAAATGCAGATGCGTGATTGATATATTTATGTATGTATAAATGTACCCTATATAGGAAGAAGAAAAGAAAGAAAATTTTCACTCACGCAAACGATCGAGGAAGTTGAAAATGATAATATTGTAAGTAAAAAGGTTTAGAGAATGCGGGAGGGACAGGTTGGTTGTCAATGGCAATGGCAATGGCAATGGAAGATTGAATTCAAAGAGAGAGAGAGAGAAAGAGAAGTTAGATATAGCTTACGTAAACATGTTTGGGTGACCGGGGAAATCGGTCATTGAGGCATGCGGGAGAATCGGGAGCTCAAGAGCGTTAGAGATTTGATTTCATTTTTCACACCTACAAAACAATTTCATATCATTTTTTCATTCACTTCTCTCATACAAACCACTTTACAACTTTAATTTACTCACCAAACCATGGATTATTTATATATATAACCTTTAGACTTTACTCAATAATTTGTCTTTATATCTTATACACAAATTTTTTAATCAATAATTAATGTGTTATATTATTTTGGAGGATTGAAACACACTTTCTTCTTATCATTCAAGTTCTATGTCCCCTCCCAAACTCCCCCCACCTTATAACTTCATATATTTTTCACATGTCTTTAATCACATATTTTTAATATTTTATGACAATTACTTTTTCAATTAATAAAAATGTTATATCTTTATTAACATAGTGAAAATTTCAAAATTAATGAATAATTGTATCTTTTCATGAATTTTCGTACTTATTTATGAAAAGTTATAAATGTTATATTTCACAAAAAAAATATAAGAGGTGTTTATCTTAAATGTAACGACTTGCGAGATCTCTATATTTTTCAATGTAAAACATATTTTGACCTAAGTTTAATATACAATATTTCCTGGATATACAAGTGATGATATAACATATATATATATATATATATATATATATGTGTGTGTGTGTGTGTGTGTGTGTGTGTGTACAAAATCTATACCAACAAATGAAATACTACACAAATATATATATATGTATGTATAGTAATCCAAAAATTGTAATATATAAATCTAAATTATCGGTCAAGCTATAACAAACAACTACTAGACTAGTTATTATGATTTAACCCAAAAATCAGCACTGCCAACCAACTTGGTCTCCAAAGGACTCTATCAGATAACCTATTCCTACTTTGTTCTCATACCCAGTATGATCATCGCAGGCAAACCACTTGGAAACATCCAAGGATAAACTAGTATTTCAAAAGAAACCAACATAAACAATATACATTTAAAAATAACTATACTATCAACGCAAACAACTCAACTTGCTTCAACACGATATGAATTTACAACTTCAACACAATTCATGTTCTTCAACTTGAACAACACGACAACACCACCTCAAAACATCTTAACATCCAATCTACACAAAATCAACCAACACAACTACCAAATTGAGTAAGATCAAACATCATGTAACTTCACAATTCAACAAAATTTTGAAATCTAACTTCCCTTACCTCCAAGTCTAAAAATTCAAGTGAGAAAAGGAAGAAGAAGATGAATGAAATTCAAAAACTCCACACCACCACCAATACAAGACTCATTCTCAACTCCAATAGCCTTGAAACACTAGCTAGCTACTCGATTAAGAACTTCTACGACTCTTGGGAGGCTAAGAAAGAAGAAAGAAATTTTAGATATTTAGAGCTCTTCTCACTACCCTCTCTCTAAGGTTATTTAAGAAATAAACTTATGAGACTCAAGTCTTAAAAGAAACTTTATATACATTCCCTCAAGGTCAAACTAAACCTTTGCCCAGAGAACCCTCTAAACACTTAAAACTCGTAAGGATTTACTTAATTCTAGAGTCTCTTAATAACATAACAACAAAGCCAACACAACACAAATCAACTCTTATATATTAAACACAAGCTTCTATCTTGTCCGAGAGTGTTTTTAGGGGCAATTCTTCAACGAGGGGATTTGCAAGAATTTTTTTTAACTTCTTATCTAATTCATTTTTTTATCATAATTATTTATGAATTAAATATTAATATTTAAAATAAATTATCAAAAAATGAAAATATTTTTTATTACAATACAAATTATTTATCATAAATCTAAAATATTATAATATATTTAAAAATATTTATGTATACTAACTTTAAATGTAATTTATATATTCAAATATAGTATTATATGTACACACATATATAATTTATTATAAATTTTAATCAACTCTTATATATTAAACATAAACCTCTAGAGCATTTATATTTGTTGATTGTTGTTACTAGGGGTGACCATGAATTGGATCGGATTGGATTTGCAACATATTTTGATTTGATTAACTTTTAATTGGATTGAATTGGTTTAATTTTATTTTTGTTAATTTTTTAGTTTTCAACCAAACCAATCTAATCCAATTATATTTGGTTTGAATTGGATTTATCCGTTAGACAACTTTTAAATCACATTAGACAAATTTTAAAATATATTTTCATGCAACTAGTTAAACATTCAATATTTTATAGTTATTTGTCAACATTATAAAATATTACTTGAAACATTAAAGATTACAAACTCAAAAAGTAATAAATATCATTAAATTAAAACCTAAATCTCCTCAACACCACAATGTATAAATATAACATATGTCATTCTTAACATTACAAACTCAACAAAATATCTCAAGTGTTACAACCAACATCATAATAATCTTAATATGTAATCAGTACTCAACTTTCATGAATGAGAGATATTCTCAATAAGACAAACAAAAAATTTGAGTTTTAATTTTGTTCTTTGATACGGAATGAATGAGTCAATTAAGCAAGAAAATAAAATTGTTTCAATTTATTACTTATCCCTTCCTTATCTTTTGCTACTCCTTGTTTGATAATTCACAACAATAACAATAATAATTAATTAATTATTAATTCAATCGATGGATCGGTTTAACTTGATTCCTAAAAATCAAAATTTAAAATCTAAATTAAATTAATTAAATTTTAAATTTGAGTCAATCTGATACTTAATCAATTCGATTTCTTGGTTTGGATTAGATTCTAATCCGCGACTACCCTAGTTGTTACACACGTGATACTAAAGTTGTTAATACTTTTTTTTAGCTCTACCTATAAAAAAAATGATTTTGATGATGGGGTTGATTGACTATTGTAGGGTAGTTTTTAAAACTAATTACGTAAATGAGACTATTTTGAAACTATTTACGCCTTTGGGACACTTTACTACAGTGTCGCTATGGCCCATAACGACACCAATGCCACGTGTAATTTTTTTTTTAAGCCATGAACGCTATATTATTAAAGTTGCTACAGCTGGTAGCGCTTCATATAAAGTCGCTATAGCTTATAGCGACACAAAACGACTTCATATAAAGTCACTATAGCCTATAACGACACCAATTAATTTTATTTTATTAAAAAAAATTATTTAAAATTTTAGTATATAATATGTTTAAAAAATGTAGTTTATTTAATTTTTTTTATAGTGTATAACTATAATTTAAAAAATGATAAAATAAATGTGGAGAAAAATACATGTGGAAAAGAAATAAAAAAAAAAGGAAGAATATAAAAGATAAAATTAACTGAAGGAAAAAAATGTAAAAAAAATGTAAAAAAAAAGATATAAAAGATAAAATTGATTTAAAAAATATATAAAATATAAAAGAAAAAAATAAGTGAAGACAAAAATGTAAAAAAAAAACAGAAGTATAAAATAAAAATTAAGAAAAAATGATATGGGCCATAACAACCTCAATTGTTTTTTTTACTATCTAGAGTCGCTATGAGCCATAGCGACACAAAGTCGTTATGGCCCATAGCGACTTCAATTTTTTTCCCCATTTTTTTTGGTCTACCTAGAGTCTCTATGGAGCGACAAAAAGTCGCTATGGCCCATAGCGACCTCAGTTTTTTTTTTCAAAAATTTTATTTTTTTAGTCATTGGGTCATTTTTTTTTATTTTTTCTCCAGATTTTTTTCTCCTCACTTATTTTGGGTTATTTGTAAAAAAATCTTGTATTTTTTAATTACTTTTTCTCCAGATTTATTTTCCCATTTTTTTAAACAAAATTATTTTTTAATTCATTTTTTTTCTGCCTTTTTTTTGTCCTTCAGTTATTTATCCTTTTATATTTTACTTCATTTTTCTCAGTTTTTAAAATTTTTCTTTATAAAAATGCTATTTTTTTAATCTAAATTTTTTTATTTAAATTTATCTTAAAATATACTATTAATTTGTTTTTGGTTAGTTGAACTATTTTGAGTTATTTTTAAAAAAATATTTTTTTTTAATTTATAAAAATATTTTAAAAGATCTACTCTTAAAATAAATATATTTTAAAATTAACTAAACCAACAAAATAAAAAAAAAATGCAGAAAAAAGTAACTATAAAATAAAATATTAAAAAATAAATTATAAAATAAATGTAGAAAAGTTAAAAAAAATTAAATAAAAATTAAGGTCACTAGGGCTCGTAACGACTTTGTGTCACTATGGCCCATTGCGCCATCTTTTTTTTTTTAAATATTTTTTTGTGCACTTTTTTTATTTTTTATTTTTTTTAATTAATTAAAATACATCTAAAAAAGGATAAAAAAAAGGAAAAATATCAAATATCAAATATTCTAAACGAACAAAATGAAAAAAATGTAATTATTTTTTTATTATAAAATTGAGCCATTTTAAATGGCTTAGGAGCCTATAGCGACACTACCTAAGTCGCTATAGCCGGTAGCGACTTCTACGTGGCTAAATTTAAGCCGTTCTTAATTTAAAAAAAAATAACACGTGGCATTGATGTCGCTATGGGTCATAGCGACACTATAGAAAAGTGTCCCAAAGGTGTAAATAGTTTCAAAATAGCACCATTTACGTAATTAATTTTAAAAATTACCCTACAATGGTCAATCAGCCTGATGATGACCATAAATGGCTTATGGGTTGCACTGATGTTGCATCTCTATTTATGTATTTATTCTTGGTCCATTTTTGTGTATTTGTTTCTTATTTTGTTCCTCGTCTTGTATCCATTTGATATTTATTTCCTCTAGACAAGTAGATGATTGCATTTGTATTTGGCTTGTATATTTGGTGATTCTTTCTCGTGACTTGGAACATTCTTTTAGCAACAAATTATAAGAAATTCTTGATGTATAGTGAGAGAATAATTTTTATAAA